CGGGATCGAATTAAATAACGATACTCATTAATGCGACATTTAATTTAGGGTAAAATCATTTTAAGTGTCAACAAAGGCAGGCTTTCCCTAGCTACCCGTCGCTTTCCCATCCCCTTGAGATATATTGAGCGTAGCATAACGGTAGAGGGTAGTGTGACCATTGGTGAGCAACCAAAAAAGGCAGGCTTCCTCCTTCCCTCAGGTAATCTCCATCTCCTTCCTGCTGTTCCTAACTCGGGTATAGAGTACAATACATACAGTTCTATCCAGGCTCTACGCGCCCCATTGGGCCAAGAGATGGAATCACGAGGTCAGAATGTTGATGGAATTACTTCTCCCCCCTATATGCAGATCATGATGGCGGCTCATGTGAGTGATGACCACGTGGTGCAATTTTCCCTAGATGAAGTTCAATCCGTTAAAGTCCGCAGCTCCCATACTTTGCTTGGACGCGTTTTCACCACGGCACGGGTCTCGCCGACTGAGCTTCGGGATTCAGTGAATTCCCCATGGCAATGCAAGGGTAAGATCAAAGTGTTGCAAGCCAAACATGGGCTATTTGAGTTCGTTCTCCCTACTGAAGAATCCAAAACATGGGTTCTAAAATGAACTCCTTGGGTGGTGAATGACAATATCATCCACCTACGACCATGGACACCGGCTGTAACCAGGCACACGTATGAGGAGCTTGCGACTGCTCCCTTCAGGGTGCAACTTTGGGATGTGAAAGATGATTGATGCACCGCAAAATTTGGAATAAAGGTGGCAGGGCCCTCAATCGGCCAGGTGCTCGAGGCTGGTGTCTATTCCTGCAAAGAATCTAGGAAATATTTCATCAAGGTGAAAGCGATGATTGATTTCTCTCGACCATTGAGATCACAATTAATGGTTGCTAGTGAGGAGACGGGGTGCTTTTGGGTGCGACTAAAATATGAGCACCTCCCCTTCTTCTGCTTCCATTGTGGGCGGGTGGGACATTACCAGAGAGAATGTACCTTTGATCCCCCAAATCGCAAGGAATGCTTTGGTCCACACATGATAACCAAAAAATTGGGGATGAGAGTTTATGATGCAGATGACATAGCTATCCCTTTCCACGGGAGGGCTAAAACAGTTTGGGTCAACAACGACCTTAAAGGCACTCGAAATCTCCCCCAGCCGGCTCATCGGGACGAGGAAATGCGACAGGAGATGCTGGGAGAGGAGGGTTCGGTCCATGGTCATGGTGGAAAAAATGGGGAAGACGTCGTTTTGATGACAAGGGAGCAACTGGGGCTGTCAAGGTGTAATCCACTTTAGGGTTTCGCCATTGCTCGCTCGCCCAAATAAAACTGAACTCCACCATGCAGTGCCGTACCAAGGATAAAGAGAAACAAGGTCCCAAACGAGCTGAGTTCAATGTCAGAGAGCCTCGGAAATCGGGACTGCCGAATAAAATGGTGAGGCGACATGCTGTTGGGCAGAATGGAAATGCACGGATCAATTCACCAGGAGTGGAGGTTGATAACCTTACCATCCCAGCGCCTTGTCTCGATCACTCAGTGGCAAACCAAACTCGAAGGCGAAGACTATTGCTGGAGGACGAATATGAAAATGACATGTTGCACTGTTCGCCTCTCTGAGGGAACAGGACAATCCGGTGACCAAAACTGTGTCGCCAAAGGGCAAGGGAATGCTGCCCCTAATGTGTAGGCTGTGAAGGGGGAGTCACCTAGCCAGACAGCCCCACGGAGGCTTATCAAAGCTTCAAACCGCCGGTCGAGCACTGATGATGCTGCGGCAGAAAAACAAAAAGAGAAGCTGATGAGAAACAAGGCGCAGAAGGCACCTGGGAAGTCATCTAATAAGGAAATCATTGATAGTGGAAAGTGGGTGGAAGTTCCTGTGATGGAAGCCTCGGCTTTTACTTCCTCCCCAGCTATTGTCGATCCTATTCCGGAGAGTAGTTTGGGGGCTGCTTCGGTTGGGTCGAGCCCGGAGGGAGTGGGGAACCACTTTGAAATAAAAAGCAGAAGGCAGCCGTCGAACGTTGGCCATGTATAACAAGTTGTTGGAGCTTTCGAGGCTGGACTAAACTTTGGGAACTCCCACTCCCCCCAACCGCTGAATGAGGCACCTAGCTTGCTCGGTGGCGAGCTGAATGAGTATGGGTCTAATTACGAGGCTCTACAAAGCAGTGAGAAAAAAGGGCTTTTCAAAAGGTGGATGGGGAAGACTGCGAGCTCCCTACGCCTAAACGTCAGTTTGTGGAAGAAAGAGATGTTGCTGCTACGGTGGAGGAAACCAGCCTAAAGTGGTCCCAGCAGGATAAATGAGGCTTCTGGCATGGAATGTGAGAGGCATTGGACCAACCCTCACATTCCGTTCTACTCTTGGTTTAGTTCCGTCAAATAAACCGGATCTTGTGTTCTTTTCGGAAACAAGAGCTCGCCGGAAATTAGTCTCCCGTCGTCTTCGAGGTTTAGGTTTTTAGTCTTCGCATACTTTCTTTGTGATGCATCAGGTGGTCTTGTTGTGGCTTGGTCCCCCGAAGTTGTTGCTTCGGTGTTTTTTCATTCGGATTTTTGTATTGGGATTGAAGTTAATGAAATAGCATTTTCCTACGTTGTTTTTTGTGTTTATATTAGTTGTAACCCTCTCTCCGAGCTACCTAGTTGGCTCATCTTCGGGATGTCTGTGCCACTATCCATCTCCCTTTTGTGGTTATTGGTGACTTCAATACCACCTTACACGTGTATGAAAAAGATGGGGGTAATGCCCGGAACAGTTCTCACGCAACTAATCTTCGAGACTTTATCACTGATATTGGGCTCCATGATCCCGTCTATCAGGGGGATACGTTCACTTGGACGAACAAGCCTCTTGGAAATGCTTGCATTCGTGAACGATTGGATAGGGCGCTCTGCTCCCATTCGTGGGTTGACCAATTCCCTGATACCCTTGTCAAACATTGCACTGACCTTGGCTCAGATCACCGGGCACTGCTCCTTGCGGACAAACCCTTTGTTCGTCAAAGTCGACCCCTTTTCAAGTTTTATGCCTGTTGGGCTGACAACCCGGAAGTCAGAGCACTGGTTAGTTATGTGTGGCAAGAGAAAATCTCTGGGACTCCGATGTTTCAACTCTGGGAAAAACTTAAGAATTTGAGGCATCTTCTCTATGATTGGAGTAGGGCTGGGACTACCAACTCGCTTCGCAATATCAAAACTCAAGATTGAGCATATCAAATTCAATCACCCCATCAATTGGGACGAGGTCAAAACCCTTGAACTGGAACTAAGTCGCCAATGGGAGGCAGAAGAGGTGTACTGGCAACAGAAATCAAGGGTTCATTGGCTTAAGAAAGGTGACAAAAACATATCGTATTTCCATATAGTCACTAGAACTCGGCGGAAAAGAAATTATGTTGCCGGTTTGTATAATGATAATGGGGATTGGATTACTGAAGAGAAAGGGAAGGCTGATATTGCATGCCACTTCTATCAGCATCTTTTCACTTCTAAAAACCAAGTGCTAAATATGGCAGAGCGAGTGGCAGATCTTCTTATTGCTCAAAGTGTCACCCAAGAGATGAATGAGATGCTAACGGCGGAGGTTCTGCCTCAAGAGATTCGTAAGACGGTGTTTGCCATGAGTTCTAAACAGGCTCCTGGATCTGATGGCTTTACAGGGAAATTTTTCAAAGCCTACTGGGATATTGTTGGCAATTCAGTGATTGAAGCTGTCTGTTTGTTCTTTGCCACGAGTAGGATGCTTCGAAGCTTCAATCACACTTGGCTAAGATTGATTCCTAAGGTGGAGAATGTGGAGAATAGGCGGCAATTGCGGCCTATCAGCCTGTGCCAATTTGTAAACTAAATTATTACTAAAATCATGGCTGCGCGACTAGCGGATATACTACCGGGCATTGTTTCTGAAGGACAAAATGCTTTCATTCGCGAAAGGCAAATTATTGAAAACATCCTAATTGGACACGAATTGATGCACTATTTGAAAATCAAGACGCGGGGTAAGAAAGGGTACATGGCTCTAAAGGTTGACATGGAAAAGGCCTATGATAGAGTTGAGTGGCCCTTCTTGCTCGTCGTCCTGGAGAAAATGGGCTTCAATTCCATATGGATAGGGTGGATCCATGAATGTCTTCGCCCGACATCTTTCTCGGTCTTAATGAATGGGACCCCTTCAGGATATTTCACGCCATCCCGTGGGCTTCGTCAAGGGGACCCTCTTTCTCCCCTGCTTTTTGTGATTTGTACAGAGGGCTTTGTTGCGCTTCTTCGCCAGGCAATTGCTGATAAGAGGCTGGGTGGTGTGAAAGTTGCTCCTAGAGCTCCTTGTATCTCACATTTATTCTTTGCAGACGATCCTTACTTATTCCTGAGAGGTAATCTTCAGGAATGTGAAAATCTGATCGAAGTTCTAAATGAGTATGAGGAGTTAAGTGGTCAACGGGTAAACTTGGGCAAGTCAGCTGTCTGTTTTAGTAAGAATATAGTCCCTGCTGATTAGGAGTTTCTGGCTGTGATTGTGGGGGTGGGTGCGGTAGGGGTCCAGGATAAGTATTTGGGACTTCCGACCCTGATAGCCCGATCGAAGATGGCTACCTTCCGCTACCTTGAGGAAAAACTATTGGAGAAGCTACAAGGGTGGAAGCAACGTACATTATCTTGGGCAGCAAAAGAAACTCTGATTAAGTCCATAGCTTTAGCTTTACCGCTGCACGTTATGTCTTCTTCAAGATGCCACTGTCACTTTGTAGGCTTCATGACAAGCATGTCGCTCGATTCTGGTGGTGTGTGACTGTGGGTCAGTCTAGGATTCACTGGATGTCCTGGAGGAATATGTGCAAAAGTAAACATGACGGGGGCATGGGTTTCCGTGGGTTTGAACATTTTAACCAGGCCCTGTTGGCGAAAATTGGGTGGCGGATCCTTCAGGACCCCCAATCCTTACTAGCCCAAGTTTATAAAGGCAAATACTTCCCAACGGGGACCTTTCTCCAAGCTCGGGCACGTTCGCGGCCTTCCTGGGATGATAGAGTATCCTCTATGCGCGACAGTTGCTTGAGCAGGGCTTACGTTGGCAGATTGGTAATGGAGAGTCGGCTTCGTTACTTTTCTCGAATTGGATTCTTCAAATGCATTCTGAGAAGCCGGCTTATAATCCGCAAGTGCTTCCAGACGGGGGTGACCCGTTAGTGGTAGAGGTGATAGCTCAGGGTGGGGAAGGGGGTTGGTGTGCCACCAAATTGAGCTAGTGGTTTGACCCTTCTACGTGTCGAACGATTCAGTCTGTTCCTCTTCCGAGGTAGAATATGACGGATAGACTGATCTGGCATGGCACGTCTGATGGCGTGTTCACTGTCAAATCGACATATCATTTGGCAGTCGACCTGGCACGAAGGAATTGCTGTTGGAGGGCTACGGCTAGTTGGATGGATAGAGCCAGCTGGATTTGGCTTTGGGGTGCTGATATTCCCCCGAAATTGAAGGTGTTCGTTTGGCAGATTTTTCATCGTATCCTCCCTACCACAGAGGGTCTCATTGAGAAAAGTGTTCCTGTGCTTCCTCGCTGCCCGGTATGCTGGGAGGCATCGGAAACTATGGAACATCTATTCCTGGACTGTCCGGTAACTCGGGCTTTATGGGACTATTCAAGGCTCGAACATCTGGGACAAGGCTTGCCTTGCCACACTTTTCCTCTGTTTCTCAAACGACTGTTTACCTTAGTTCATCAACCTCGTATGATCATGGATGTGGTAGCAGTTCTTTGGAGGATTTGGAAGTCACGTAACTGGGTGGTCTTTGAAGGCAAGCAATTCCGATTCCCTGCCTTGATGCGGCAAGTTCATCAGCAGTGTGAGGAATGGGAACGGGTGCCGGCTGATAGGAAGGAGATGGGACTGCACCCTACTGTCCAACCTTCAGGGTTGACGGGGGGTTCTTCGCTGGTGTGTATGTGGGATGGGGCTACAAGAGCTGGGTCCCACTCTGCGGGCAGAATGGTGCTTCTTGACCCTTATAGGATGGTCATCCGGGCGCAAGGGGTCCAGTACCGGGTTGTTGATGATCCTTTAGTGGTGGAGGCGCTCGTCCTCCGGGAAGCTCTCTTATGGCGTGTGGCTAATGGATTCCAGGAGGTGCGTTTTGAAGGCGATGCCAAGGTCATCTTCGATAAAATTAATCAAGCGGAGATTAGAAATAGTAGGATTGGGATGATATTGGATGAAATCTGCCAATGTATGGGAAATCAACCGGGGTTTAGTTTGCGATTTGTAGGACGGAGGAACGATAGGGTAGCCCATGCGGTGGCTAGAAAGGCCCTTTCTTTGTACCTGTCTACGTGTCGCGCTTTTAATTTCCTGACCTGGCTGTTCTCCAGGATGTAACTGTGTCTATCTTCAATCAATATATGATTATCTTTTGTAAAAAAATGTTTTTCCCCCTTTTTTAATTAAAACCAACTGGTTTGGTCTTTTTTTTTCTCCCACTACAGCCTTGTGATCCCAACGACATCGTTGCAAAGGAAAACAACAATGTGCATCGTAGTTCTGCTTTCCCCAAAAACTTCCGTGTTGCAACAAGCATCACAATTCACAAGGCTGTTTTCTTTACCCGCAACATTGTTTGGCCGAACTCCTTTCCTTTTCCAACAAGAAAAAGAAGCAATCCTCCTCTCACTTCACATGGGTACTCAGCCAACCCTTTAGATAGATTCCACACCTGCATCTCACATCCAAATCAACTAGCACGCTCACCATCGCACAACGACCTAGCATGGCTCCCCAAGGACGCCTCGCGCCTCAAGCCATGACCACTATTTCTCGTCAATTCTCTTTCTCATCACCGTTGCAATTCCAACAACGTTGATACATGCGCCTAGATACATATTAAACAACTTGGCATAGGAACAAAATGAAACCCACATACATGTTCCTTCACAACATATATATATATGGTGCCTTCTATGGTACCCCGGGTAAAATCTGGGGTACCGCATACCTTGAGTATGGAAACGGTATCTAGACCTCGAATTAGCAAGATTTTTGGGTCTGATACTATACCCTAACCCTTAATGAGTGAACCCTAGGTCCTAATTATCTAAATCATAATCTATAAACCCTAAGATGGTGCATTCCTTTTTGTGCCTATATTTGGACGAATCATAACCGTCGATTATTGTTTCTAATTAAATTGATCTTGGAGTATAAGATTAGGAGAATTAAGACCTAGATTTTGATCTTTAAGGGTTAGAGTATAGTATCATATCCGAAAGATCGGTCAATTCAAGGTCTAGATAGTGTTTTCATACTCAATGTATGCTGTACCCCGAATTTTACCCAGAGTACCGTAGAACTCGCCATATATATATATATAATCTCACTTGTTCAATTGTGTTGCCTCCAATGTTGTCTTTCCTTTCCCACATCACCCATCAATTCTTCACACCCCTATGTTGGTAGCCGGTAGGCATAGAAAAGGAAGAAACCCCCCATTGCAACATTACTTTAATCCTTGTTAACTCCTGTACAGCCTTGGTTTTTTTCTTTTTTTAGACAACTGTGTTTACAATGCCGCAACTCTGCCCTATTCTCTACTAAACGACACCCCTTTTTTTATTCAATCACCAATAAAGCTGTTAGAATCCTAAACTTGTCGCAACATTCTTTGGCCAAAACGGCCGCAAAAACTTTTTTTTTCAACAATTCCTCCTTTTTCTCGGCATCGAGGCCAAGACAACATCGTTCAAAAGAGGAATCACCTACGGGGTCCCTACCCCACTCTTCCATCGTTGCTCAGATAAACTCGACCATAATTGACCGTTCTTCTCCTTTTGTTAAACAACATTGTTTTCCTCTCCAAACATCCATGTTTTTTTTTCCAACGCGCAATAGTTTTGATTCTCTCAAGTTGGGCCGGGAAACTTCATCGAGAAAGTAACAATAGAACGACACTGTTGTATCGAGAAAGTAACAATAAAAATGACACTGTTTTCACCAATTTTAATCTCGTGAATCAAGTCCCATCGAATCTGTTTGGTTTTATTGGTCCTCCAAAAGTCACCATTTTAGCTCGGAGAAGAAAAACAATTTGGGATTACACCGGCTGGGATTAATTTGAACCTACCGGTTGGAATTGTTTTCTACTAAACAATGTCATTTTGAGTACCGTGGCGTTGTTGGGTTTACTCGCGGTGTCGTTTTCTTGCCCAAACAACTATGTTTGCTTTTTACTCCACGACATTGTTTTATATTAAACACTGTCATTTTCTAATCCGCGGTGTTGTTGATACCTCTCGCGGCGTCATTTTCAACTAAACGACACCGTCCAAAATAAACATTAAAAATATTAATTAATTAAACCGGCCATCACTATTGACTCGCCGTCAAACTCTCACCCCTCGACGCCGTTCTTAGTTAAACAACATCATTTTCTAGTCCCGCGATGTTGTTGAGTTTCGCGGCGCCGTTTTATCTTTCCGCGGCATTGCTTGACTTCCGCAACATTTTCTAGCCCCACAATGTTGTTGAGTTTCGTGGCGCCGTTTTATCATGCGAGATCAAATTAAATGCTGATACTCATTAATGCAGCATTTAATTTAGACTAAAATAATTTTAGGTGTGAACATATGTATACTTATGAAATCTGACAATTAATTCAAATCAATATATTAAGTATCATCATCGTTTACAAGGTTTGACATTAAATCCATAATGTATTATGACTCGAATGTCTTCTAGATCTGTTACAAAAAGACAGTTCGCGCTCGAATTTCAAATCAAGAGTGCATATATAATTTTGCAAGGATCATGCATCCTAGAGTTATTGATTCTATCGGGGTAAAATATTTCGGGTACCACTAAAAGTATGATAATTGGGGGAGTTATACCACTTAATTAAGAATAGGGTATTGCGTACCATTGAACTCAATTACGTGTGCACCCGATACCATTTAAGTTTACTGTTAAGTGCATTCCGTTAAAGTTGACTGAATATTCTTGATATGATCCCAAATGGTCCATTATACACGTTTAATTTACTTGACGAAGAAGCTAATGAAGTTGGGAAGAAGAAGGGCAGGATTTGGCTAAGTCAAAATCTGTGTTCAGGGTACATACTTTGGAGGCATGGTTCTCTCAATTGGCCATGTGGAAATTCAAGTTTAAGGGTTTGTTTTGTAGATAAAGTTTTCATCTTTCTAAAAGGCAAAAAGTGCCATGGTCAAAGGTTTTATGGAAGGGTAGCTCTATACCCAGAAATAGGTTCCTAGCATGGTTGATCATCAGACAACTTGTAAATACAAAAGAGAAGATGTTGAAATGGGACTTTCTGGTAGTGTAAGGTGTGTGTCTTGCAACTGTCCTCTTGAGACGATTGATCACTTGTTCTCTGTCTATCCTAAGTATAGGAGTTTGTTTGTGAAGCTGTTTCGTAGGGGTTCTGAGGTTACACAACTGCATAGCTCATTGGAGGAGGAAATCGATTGGCTGCAGCAGAGCTTTGGGAATGTCTTAGTTCATGCGTAGGTTGGCAGAGGAACATGACATAGCTTGGTTAGTTATTTGTGGCGAGAAAGGTGTAGCAGGGTGTTAAGTGGAAACTGTAGGGATAGTGATGTATTGTGCAGGATCATTAGAGACGAGGTAAAGGGGATGTTTGGAACAGAAAATATTGAGTCCTTTTAGTATTTTGGTAGATAATACATTTTAGGAATTTTTGTCTTTTCCTAACTAGCGAGGGTGTTGCTACCGCTACTTTTTTATATGAAATGAAACATACCCGATTCATTAAAAATACTATGTTTAGAAGGTTTTCTAATTTTTATATTAGATAAAAACTTGTTGAATTAGAGTTTTGGATGTTTTAAAAGTTTTGGGTAACAAAAAGTAATTAATAATTAGGATTGGATAGAAAACTAGACAGATGCACATTTTGGCGACTTTTATGGTACCCAATGCCCTATTCAAACTAAATTGGTACGTATTGCCTAATTCTCAAACTTAAGTAATACCTTAGTTATTTACTATGATTCTATCTTACACCATGAACCGGATTATCTACAAAATATATAAAGGCAAAACATGGGTTGGAATTCTCTCATTTCAAATTTCGTGGCCTGAGAGTGAATCTAGGAATGTCATTTGCACCTAGTTCATGTTTATATATTAAAAATGTTGTCATTGGAGTTTGAACCCTGGTCATTTCAATGAAGAAAGAGCATTATAACCAACTAGGCAACATTTTATTTATTGTTATTTCTTTAATTGAACTCTAGGAATATGTTTGGTGATGATGCTTCTATATTTATATTTTATCTTAAGTTATTTATATTTTATAGAAAGATATTAGTTTCGAAATCGGAACTCAAGTAGTATTGATTCAAACATTAACATTATATTATATGTGTTGTTTAGTTCAGACAAAATACAGAAGTGTAACCAAAACATAGACCTTTGTGACGTGTATAATCATTGTTGAGCAGATGGATTTTTCCGTTGAATGATAAGAAATTTTCAAAGGTAGTAGCCCCTCTTTATGTCTCTGCATGGCAGAGGGAAACTTGATTGCGACGCTCTCCAAAAGCCCTTGTTTCTCTTGATCCCTTTCGCGTCGCCGTCTATGTGTGGGAAGAATTGAGACTCATCTTGAGTGAGGGTGAGGCTCAAATGGTAGACTGATGGCCATGAACTGCGACGGAGGCAAAGTCTTTCAGATCAGAAGAAAGTCGGCGAAGGGTTTTTAGGAGGAGTTCAACGATGTTGGTGGAGGATTAGCAATTTTAGGGATTTTTTATTTTGTTATCTTGATTGATAAACATGCACTTAACAATAATCACAACCAATTACACTTAACAAATTTTTTTTATCTTCATAAATTGTAAACATACACTAATTGAAGATTTGAAAAGCAGATGACTTTTTTTCACGATTAACTAGCCTATCAAATCTTCTGAAAAGCAAAGTTTCATATGTGATTTATAATTTTTATAACATATAAATGACGGGTAATCTTAAAATTGCAACACAACTTTCATTGCTTGAAATATTGCATATCGAACTGCAGTATTGAATATGCAAAAGCGATGTATAATTCTTTAAATTAATATGAATTTTCAGAACTAATACGAAACAATAATATTTTGTACAAACTATAAGTGATTGGTTCTCTAAAATTTTAACATGGTTAACTGCTAAACGTTAAACTCTTGCTAATCGAGCATGAATGGACACGACAATAATGAGACGATATCGAGTTTGATTTGATGTTCCTTTCATCAGTTTTGGATCGGATGTGTTGATCACATTATAGGGCAAGAACATATAAATGAGTTTTAATTAACCTTATTATACAATTTTTTACTCTTTATAATAATTGATTTAATCTTAATATTTGTGATGTTTGAAGTATTTTATGTATGATTTAGAGGTATAATTATTATTTGTGACATCAGTTGTAGTTTATTCAAATGTAGTATTTCATCAGGTAGTATAAATCAAATACTGGGTGCATTTATGGCTGTTTTTATCTTGGTATTGTGAATAAGTAGAAACTTAATCATCATAATGCATATAACTATACCTAGGCACATGGTAGAGCTAACACGACACAGTTAGAGCATACCAAGAAAACAATGTATATAGATCGGCCATGTACAAGTATGAATGCTTCATGGGTCGTACTTGACTTAAACTTCAAGGGCTCGCGCACAAGTGCGAGCACCACATAGTCTATATTGGTGAACTCATGTTTTATGGAGAAATGCGCCATTTGATAAAAATAAAGCAAAATATTCTAAAAATAACATATAAATTTTGAATAAATAAGTAGTTTCTCATATCAACGACGACTCATATTCTAAAAGGTTTATAAAATACATTCATTGTTTATTTTGAGACTCAAACCTTTTTCAATGTATACAACTAAAGTTTCATTTATAAAATCATTCTTGATTAACTTCAAAGCTGAAAAGTCTTTTTTACAGCTTGCAGTAATAACAAACAATGCCAACAATAACTTTAGAAGCAAGTAAAGTGAAGAAGAAACCGAGATTTAGTATTTCTTTGGAAATGTGTGCGAGGGGGAGATTTTTTTGTCTAAAAATTTGAGGAAGGGTTGAAACTCATATATCATATGTTTGAATATTGAATATTGCATATTGAATGAGAGTATTGAACATTTTGGAAGCAATATATAATTCTTAAATTAGTATTAATTTTCAATCCGGTTGATCAATAGCCTTAGACCTTTTGCTAATCTGACATGGATCCAATAATCATAAAATGAGATTTAGTTTGATATGACGTCGGTTCAAAACCATTTTTTATGTGTAATGAATTTTTACGACAAATACATTATCTAACTAACTATTAACGACATGTTAGCATCATGTCATATATATTTCAAATCAAGCAACTTCAGATTCATTACCAACAGTGTGGTAAAAAAGAATGCTCTCTATCGGGGAAAACTTAAATGACATACTAAACTCTATGAGACATTTTCTTCCATTCTAAAAATTGATTATGTATGTATTATGAGAAGCAACTCTAATATTCAACTATATGGTTTAATTAAGTAATGAATGATAATTAGTTATATTTTTTTCATTCAATAATTATATGTAATGCTTATATTATATTTTTTCCTCTTTTCATGGAGGTCTAAACACATTATGCATAGTTGAATCACTTTCAGAAATGTTATATGCATAACTAAGATAAAAAACAATTATTTCATACATTTCAAATTATTTATTTATCTATTATTATATATCATATTTCTCGACAAAATTTTTTCGGTTAACGGACCGGACCCTGTACTATTATAGTATATTGTATAAAAATGGATTGTTGTGGAGGAGTTGAAGTTGAAGAAAACAATTTGGTCTCTACTTTCAAACTCTTGCGAGCTGGGTCATGTGTGTAAATCATTTCGCCATATCGATGACGACTAAAAGGGCAATTTCTAAAGCCCCACTTTAAAAAATGAACTAGCTCACTTTCCCTTCCCCCACTTTCTGTACCCAACCAATAATTCTTTGGAAGCAAAATCCCTCTTTTCCACCCATCCCTCAGAGAGATGCTGCCCGGAGCAGAGAACCCTACGGCCAGCGCCGGCAGCACCTGCCACGTGTTAGCTATGCCATACCCGGGCAGAGGCCACATCAACCCAATGATGAACCTCTGCCGCAGCTTGTCTTCCAAACACCCCAACATCCTAATCACCTTCGTCGTCACCGAAGAATGGCTCGCCTTGATCGGTCCTGATCACAAAGCTGCAGCGGAGAGCGATAAGATCCGGTTTGCCACCGTCCCCAACGTAATCCCTTCCGAGCTAGTGCGGGCCAAGGATTTCCCTGGGTTCGTGAAAGCAGTCACCACGAAGCTGCAAGCTCCGTTCGAGATGGTTCTCGATGAGCTGGAGCTCGAGCTGCCGGTGAACACCATCATCGCCGACACGTACTTGCTGTGGATGAGCGAAGTTGGGAATCGCCGGGGAATTCCAGTGGCGTCGCTGTGGACGATGTCGGCCTCTGTTTTCTCCGTGTTTATCCACTTTGACCTCCTCCGTCAACACCGTCATTACCCAATCGAGGATTTCTCAGGTGAGAAGTGAATTGAAGAAATTAAATCCCACTTTCATGGCTAACCCTAGAACTTTAATGAATCAATTTGGGGAATTTTTTTTTTTTTTTTTTTTTTTTGCGATTGAGAATCCAGGGGTTGGAGAAGAGACGGTGGATTACATACCAGGGCTTCCACCGACGCCAATCTCAGATCTGGTACCGTTCATCAGCGAAGCCAGCCGGCAAGTCCTGCCGGTGGCGCTGGAATGCATTTCCCTCGTCTCCAGAGTCCAGTGCCTCCTCTTCACTTCGCCTTACGAGTTCGAACCGAACCTCTTCGATGCTCTAAAACGCCATTTTGCATTCTCGGTATACCCAATTGGGCCCTCCATCCCGTATCTGAAGCTTCAGGCGGAGGACACCATTATCAATGTCCAATACCTTCAGTGGCTAGACGCTCAGCCCAAGGCCTCGGTGCTCTATGTCTCAATGGGCAGCTTCCTCTCTGCCTCAAAACAACAAACGGAAGAAATCGTCGCCGGCGTGAAGAACAGCGGCGTTCCCTTCCTGCTGGTCTCTCGAGGAGACGGAACAATCGGCGGCGGCGGCGAAAGACGTGGGGAGGGAATGGCGGTGCCGTGGTGCGACCAATTGAGGGTGCTCTGCCATGACTCTGTTGGAGGGTTCTGGACGCATTGCGGGTTGAATTCGACGCTGGAAGCTGTGTTTGCCGGAGTTCCGATGCTGTGTTGGCCTTTGGCGTGGGATCAAATCCCTAATTGCAAGTCGATTGTGGATGACTGGAAAGTTGGACGTAGGGCAAGGAAGAGATGGGTCAGCGGCGGCGAGGAGTTGGTGACGCGTGATGAAGTTGCGGATATGGTGAGGCGTTTTATGGATTCGGAGAACGGTGAGGTGAAGGGGATGAGGGAGAGGGCGTCGGAGCTCCGGGGGGTTTTCCGGGCGGCGGTTGCAGATGGAGGATCATCGGATGTTGGCCTGGATTGCTTTGTTAAAGACATCTCTAACCAGTTCCGGGCCAGTTAACGAGATTAGTAAACAAATTAGTCTAGCAATTTGGACCAGGCCTTAGGCCCAGCCCATATACGTAGTTTATCACTTCAATAAGACATGTACTTTTCATTTAGGCCCAGTGCCATTAGATTCAGACTTCATCATACTCAAAGTGCCTTTATTTAGGGCTTTTAAGTTCTTCACTCTAATTGGTAAATCATCACCTTATACAAGCCTCGAGCAAGGATCAATAATAAGAAAACTAATTAGGAACTCTGAAGTCATGAATCTGAATGTTGTCCACATTCTGCTTCTTGTAATCACTGCGATTTCTAGTGGCATAGAACTTTCCCCAATTGTAAGGCAAGTACTTGGGAGGATCCTCCTCGCTCACAAGCTCCTCCAATGGCTTCACCATAACATGGTGGGATGGCACCAAAAAAAGAGCAAACGAATACCTCTCCTTCTCCCCATTCACAACGGCTCTGTGCTCCACGCTCTTGTACCGTTCATTGCTCCAAACCTAAGCACGTAGCAATAAAGTCGAAACGTCTTGGTAACAAAGAACTGTACGAGAAAATTTTCAATTTCGAATGTATGTATTAGTTGCGATTTTCAAAACTAATTGTGTACCTGAAATTTTTAAAAACAAACCTGACAAATGTCTCCTACGTTGATGATCAATGCAGTAGGATCAGGTTTAACATGAACCCATTTACCATTGCGCTTAACCTCTAGCCCGCCAACATCATCCTGAGCAAGCACAGTCAAGAAATCGAAATCCTTATGACGACCACAACCAAGAGTGAGATCGGAAAAGAGGCAAGGAGGATAGTGATTGATCCTTAAAAAGCTTGTTTGCTCTTCAAAGTAGCCCTTCAGCCTACCACCAGGCAGCCCTAAGCTCAAGCAAATAATTTCCATCAACTTGAAAGCTAATTTCTCCATCTCTCCTGCATACTCCTGACAGACAACCCTAGGATGCGAGTTCAGACAATATTAGTTATCGACATGTCGAATATAGAAAGATTATCCAACATAGTTTAATTTAAGTTCAAACCTATCGAAAGTTACATAAAAAAATGTGAGATCGTCACCTGAATTGAGACGGATTTTTAGGCCACGGGTTGGTTATGGTTCGCAACTCTTGACAATCTGGGTCGGGCGAGGCCGGTATCAACGTGGAATCATCGATCAAGAAATCGTAAACTTCTTTCCAGTCTCTGACGTTCTTCGTATGCTCGCCATCGTGATACCCTACAGGATTCACTTCATCTCTCTTCGCCTTCTTCTTCTCATCCATCGGTTGATCAAAGAACTCTTTGGACGTCTCCTTCATCGCCTCCAACAAATGCAAGGGAACTCCATGGTTGATCACTTGTAAGAAACCACACTCCTTGCACGCATTTCCCACCTCCTCCACTATCCTTTCAATGTCTCCCGAAAGATCGATCACGGGGACTTCTTCCCGCCCAATGGCTGCAACATTGACGTTTGGTCGGTTCTCCATGTCTACGATGAAAGATGGATCAAGCTCGAACGACATCGTAGTGGCCATGCAGAAGCTAACTTCCCCACGGTTTTGGCGAGAAAGCGACGACGTCCATGAAGAATTCTTGTTTGCTTTGATGGGGTTGGAGAGAAGAACGCGGCGAGATGCGGAGGCGTTGTGATTAATTGGTGGTTGCAAGTGAAAGATGCGCAGTAATTGTGAACTTAGATGCGCCATTTCTCGGATTCTAGCTGGCGAGAGGGAAAGACGAGATTGTGCTGTGATAGAGAAGATATGGGGCGAGAGCTGGTTCTTTTATACTCGCGTATCATATATTCATGGTGGATGGTAGATGAAAGAAGAAGAGTGGCAAACCCCTTTCGTGATGTTGAAAGGGCAGAAGGTGCGTCCATGGCTGCCCTAGGTACAATTTTAGAAGTAAAATTTGAACTGGACTGACAGTAATATATGAACGAAATTTCAACATCAATGTTCGCAAACAAAGAAGCAGCGGCTCGATTAATGGGAGAAGGGCCTAGCTAGCTGCTTCGAGTCTGTCTCATCTTTCCCATAAGAGATATATGCCGTTCTAACACTCTACTCTAATCCAAGATGTCACTTTGTTACACTTTGCTACTGATGGGAAATAAGCTGCTCGATCTCCCCTACGTTTCCAACACTACTTAGAGAGTTCTATTCCAGCACGGAAAAACATCTGATCTTTTTTGTTTTTTTGTTTTAAGGTCATATAGGTTGACTTTTTATGGTTAACGTACTATTATTAATGGATTCGAAGCTAGAACATTCAGGTTAAAGACTAGTGATAATACTACTAAACCAAATCCTTATTCGTTGGGAAACAACCTTCTCTTAATTCGACTGTGTTTGTGCTTATAGAATCTCTTGATTCGACTGTACATGTTTGTACTTATAGAATCGACTGGACGATTGTTAACCCTTATTTTATTATCGAGTTTTTGTTCAAGATCTAGCTTGCTTTACAGTTTAGAATCTCATTATTTTGTAGTGTAGAAGGGAGCATTATCACTCGCTCGCTTAGTAACACACCCATTTTATTTCCACGTCTATACGTTCGGTTGATTTGAGAGTTCATTTTTTCCTGCTACTTCTTCACAAGGAAGCGCCACTTGTTTTGAAGTTTGATTTCAGCTTTTTCGCCCTTTCCACTTGTATAAATTTACATTATCTGTGAATCCACTTGGATTCGAATCGTGCTCAATTGTTCAGATATGAAATTATGTCATTTACATGTGCATACTGTCGCCCATGCTGCAGATCATGATACTTTATGATCCATCAACTTGGCGGAAAGAAAAAAACCAAAGAAAAATAAATCCAACATGCATGGCAAAATAACCCACCCAACCTATTTGCCATTTGCTGCTCATCTTATCTTTATCAGGCATAAGAAGGGATCCACTTAGCACTTTCAAAACCCAGTTTTTTTTTAAAGAAAAAAAAAACTGATGAGGAGAACTCGGAATGGCAAGGCAGGTCCGGGACGGGTATCATGTAGACCTTGCAATCGGGTCGGGTTGGGGACTTCGGTTACGGGTTGGGTCATGTTTGGTTGGCCAATTTTGGGTCAAATATTGACCCAACCCATTTGGTTTCGGGTCGGGTTACAGGTCATTTCGGGTTATGAGCGTTCTCAGAAACAATATCAAACATGTTTCATATTTTCTTACAGAACACAAACTTTCACATATGCATGACAATAGTTTACCTAACACATGTCAATTAACATATTCTCAAATCTTCCCACGCTAATAAAATGAAATACAAATTGCGCAAATCGTCAAAAAACAATCACAAGAGTAATACTACTACAAGAAACACATGATATTTGATTATCCTTAAACTCCAAAACATGTCATTCAAATCTTTGTGATTTTTTTTAAACATCTCACCAATTTATGAGTGATTTTATCATTTTTGGAGTGATATATAAAATGGAACGGGTCTAACAGGTCGACCCGCTAACCCACCCAACCCGACCAAAAAAATCACGGGTTATCGGGTTCGGGTCATTCGGATTTCGGGTTACAAAATTTTTTAGTTTTCAAGCGGTTTCGGGCCGGGTTGAAATTTCCAAGCCTAGTATCATGATATCCATATCTGCCACGTAGCAGGTTTGGTCCAGGTCGGGTAATTAATCATGGATCGCGGGTCGGAGCAGGTCGACTCAATGGGTATGCAATTTATATGGAAAATATTATAAATATTTGTTAATTTCATTATAAAACCAAGAAAACAAACCATATTATGATAAAACGTAGTTAAATCATTTGAGAAATTGAGGTTTTCACTAATTTACAACTTTGTTATAGCTAAAATATGACGTATAAAAGAAAATCCTAAATAAGTTTACTAAGATCACATGTAATTTACGCAAGAGTGGGTCGAGAATGGGGCAGGTCGGGTCGATGAGAGTACCCATGCTCGCCCAGCCCCGCCTATGGGGCGGGTCGGACCCGCCTAAAAACAGGCCAAACAGGTCGGATAAAACGTGCCAGGTTGAAATTGCCATCCCTAGTCAGCTCTCCCCTCTCTCCTTCGCCTAAGGCATTCGATTGGTTGCTGGCTCATTACAATGATGATGACAATCTTCTCACGCTGCCTATGGAATCAAAGGAAGTCTCAAGCTTGGAGGATTAGCAGGTTGCTACAACCCCTCCCCCAAGATGAAGGATTAGAGACGATATTTGTAGAATACTCGTTGTCCTCGTCCCATCGTCATAAACGCGATAAAAAAAACAAAACTATGGCTTATTTGCCATGAAAGATTGATGTTCCAATATAAGGAATGGTAAAAGGAAGCTTGGCCTTGTCCTGACTGAGAACAACGTGTTTGTTCTCCATTTCGCTAAATGCAGACGATTATCCAAAGTGATCGGCTGGCGGTTTAAGATTCCTTCAATGGAAGAATTGGATATGGAGGGATAGATTAATTCGGAACCCCTGTTGGTTGCCAACGGCAAGGCCGGGGATGTCCCCTCCTCTAATTTGTTCGTCACCCGTGCGGTTTACCTTTTCCAGGGTGCAATCCCAAAAACCTGGATGTTCAGTGTACCATCGGTGACCGAAAAACAACGTCGACATTATTCAGATCCATTGTCCGGTTCGACGCGAGTTTGTTAGGAAAATATTCCCTCCTGATATGATCACCGCATTAAGTGGGATTTATCATAAAAACATTATCCCATTTTTCATATTAATTGTCCATCCGCTAATAAAACTCTAATAAACCTAACCCGATATGTTGCGGGGAACCCTAGTCAGGAGGTCTGTCTTTTCTATAAAAGTCTCAGCCCTAATCCTTCTACTGACATCTCTCCTATTCTTCGAGTAAGGGTAGCAGCAAGAGTTTCTGCGGACAATCCTCCCCCTAGGGTCGCCCAACGCTTAGGCACCTTGTTTTCCCCTACCCCTTTCCCTTGGCAGCCGAAACCGAAGTTGTGCATTACATATGGGCGATTGCTCGCGGCTTCCAACTTATGCGCAGTCCGGCTCCCCCCGTCCTGGGAACATACTCACCGAATGCATGGCCATGTTTCATCCGCCCCCATGCAGCGTGGATGGGCAGCCAGCTAACAATGCTTCTTCTTGCTTAAAGGATCACAAGATGGCTCACATTATCTCGGATCAGGTGGAATAGTTCTCTATGGAAGAGGTCCAATCGACGAAATACCGGGCTGCCCATTCTCTCCTGGGACGGATCTTTACTGAGAATAGGGTATCAACAACGGAACTGAGAGAATCGGTGATTACACCTTGGCTAATCCAGGGACGAATCAGGGTGGTTATGAAAAAATATGGCCTGATCGAGTTTGTGCTTCCTAGTGAAGACTGAAGAGGCTAAAATCTGGCTGCTCCAACGCACTCCGTGGGTGATCAATGATAAGATCCTCCATCTATGCCCATGGCCTCCTGTCATTACGAAGACTTTTTTTGATGACCTCGCGATTGCCCCATTCCGGATTCAATTGTTGGATGTGAAAGAAGATTGTTGCACACAACAATTTGGGCGGAAAGTGGTGAATACCACTACTGGCAAAGTGCTAGAAGCATGCGTCTTTGCATGTCAAGATACGGGTCGCTGGTTTGTGAAAGTCAAGGCGCTGATCGATTTCAATAAGCCACTTTGATCACAGATTATGGATGCTAATGATGACACCGGGTGCTTCTAGGTTAGTCTGAAGTACGAATTCCTCCCCAATTTCTCCAACCACTGTGGGAGGGTGGGACATTCGCTATGAGCATGCACCTTTTAGCCACCAACTCGCAAGGAAAAACTTTGTCCACATATGTCGACCAAAAAACTCGGTACTAGGATTTATGATACGAAAGAATACAATCAATCCTTCCCCAGAGGTGTAAAATCTGTCTGGGTCAACAAGGATTATCGTGAGTCTAAGACTAGAAGAAATAGTGCTATCTAGGTCAGCCTTTATCCCGTAATCACAGTACGTTGACTGCCGATTCTCTGGGTAATGGGGCGATACCTCGCCGGCTGAGCCCACGAGGGTTCAAAGTCACGAGGTCGCCTAAACTCAAGCTAGGACGTTCGCACACAGCTCCTGCTACCCCTGTGCGCGACTATATCGACGACTCTCACTGAGGGCGATTCCCTTGGCGGCGAAATGAGAGGGACGAGTTGGAAGAGATGGTTCAGTAGGATCACCTTGAGCATCACCAGAAGGAGATGAATTTCGAGGAAGGCTTCCTGGTATCGACCGCTGATTGTACAGATACCCTCATGGGAACTGATCACACAGTGGTAAAAATTCCACCTGTCGAGGCTCGGCGATGGAAGCTAGTTTTGGATGACTCGGGTGATGAACTCACCTCGCCAATGATCCCCATGCAGCCCATGCCGGGACGACCTTCTGGTCACGAGGAGAAGAAGAAAGGAAAGAGTTTGGTGATGCTGGGCAATGACAACTTGGTGGCGGATAAGAAAAAGAAGCGCCCGACATCTATTTTTTACAACAAGACACAGCTGGAGGCTTCATCTTCTCACCCTTGATTTGTTGCTGACAATGTCCCAAAGAACCAGGGCCACAACCGCGCTACCTAGGGTACGGTGAACTGCAAAAGGAAGGGAGAAAAAGCTTCTGAGGTTGAGCACCCACCCGACTCACCTTCCCCAGCAAAGGTGGAAGAACAGAACGAGAGGCATATGTGGCCTCTCTTTCGGAGGAAGAGGAGCTTCGATTTGTGATCAAAAGTAGATCTCATACCGCTGATCCTGTTCGAAAAAATATTTCAGGCCAAGTGCGGCAGGTGGTTGCTGCGTTTGAGGCATGCATGATGTTTAATGAAGATAAGGAGTCACTGGAGAAAACTGAGGGTGAAATGGTGATGGAGTTAAATGAGTATGACTCTAATTTTGAGGGCACGGTTAATGGGAACCGTAAACGCTCGCTGCAGGAGATGGATGGAGAATTTGAAGAAAATCACACTCCTAAGAAGTAATTTGTGGAAAACCCGAGTGAGACTGAAAAGGTGGAGGAAGCCAGCCTCGAGTGGCGCGAACTAGATAAATGAGGCTACTGGCCTGGAATGTGAGAGGAATTGGACCATCCCTCACATTCGAAACTACGTTTGGTTTAGTTTGTTCAAACAAACCGGAACTTGTGTTCTTTTCTGAAACAAGATCGTGCCGGAGAGTAGTTTCCCGTAGAATGCGGGGTTTAGGGTTTGTTTCTTCTCAGTTTTTTTTGTTGATGCTATCAATGAATCTGGTGGTCTTGTTATAGGTGGGTCCCCCGAAGTTATGCTTTGATGTTTTTTCATTCTAGTTTCCGCATTTGTACCATGATTAATGAAATGGGTTTTTTGTATGTCGTGATTGGTGTTTATTTTAGCTGTAACGTCTCTTTACGTGCTAATCAATTAACACAATTGGGAGCAATATGTGAGAATCTCCATTTTGCCCTAGGTGGTCATTTGGGGATTTCAATGTTATCCTCAAAACAAAAGTGAACAAATGGAGGTATCCCGTGGAATGCCTCCCAATCGATAGATCTCAAGAATTGTGTTCAAAATCTGGGGTTGCATGATCCGGGGTTCCAGGGTGATCATTTCACCTGGACAACAAACGTATGGGGATGGCTTGTATTCGTAAAAGGCTTGATAGGGTTATGTGTTCACAGTCTTGGATTGATCACTTTCAGTAAAACCCTGGTCAAGCACTTCTCAGATAAGGAGTCTAATCACCGGGCCCTACTTTTTTCAGATAAGCACTATGTCCAGAATTGTCGCCCACTCTTTCGTTTTGACGCCCGCTGGGTGGATCATACGGAAATTAAGGCAATGGTGACATATGTCTGGTAGGAGACAATCCAAGGTACCCAGATGTTTCAGCTTTGGGAGAGGCTTAACCGACTTCGACATCTTCTATTAGATTGGAGCAGAGCAGGCACGACCAATTCCCTGCGTAATATCCACACCTTGCAAGCTGAAATAGATCGTATTAAGCTAATTCATCCGATCAATTGGGATGAGGTGAAAAGTCTGGAAGCTTAATTGGGTCGACAATGGTAAGTGGATGAAATCTATTGGCAGCAAAAATCTCGTGTTCGGTGGCTGAAAAAGGGTGACAAAATATTTCTTATTTCCATAAGTTTACGAGGGCCCATAGAAAACATAACTTTGTTTCGGGTCTTAGGAACGATGATGGGGAATGGATTATGAAGGAGCATGGGAAGGCCAATATTGCCACTAATTTTTATCAGCATCTGTGACTCACTTCTACTGTCACTCCAGGAATTGGCCAAGTGAAACCACTTCCTAAAGCGTAGTATAGCGGGTTTGGGTTTAAATGTCAACCCGAGTCCTAGATTTGATGACTACTCGGTGAATTCTTGTTATCTAGCAATGAAACTTTAATGAAAGTCTAAACTAACAAACTAACAAAGCAAGTAAACGGTTGTATTCAGGTTAAGAGAGGTCACCCGAATATGGTTCCCCCTCGACTACAGTTAAGCCGGATTGTAATTACCAAGTTCAGTTTCTATGATAGTTATACTGCGGAGGGTTCTTAAACAGCCTGAAGTCTCGATTAAAGGTCTTCAGACCCTCTCAATCTGAGTCTCTAGCGGGCGACTAACCTCCACCGGAGTAAACAGATTGAGGCCCTATGAACAAAACCTCCACTACCGAAGTGAATTCGGTACAGAATAGTGAGTTGGCTCCTCGACTAAAGTCACCAACTCCCTACCTTCAATCAAGGATGCTCTATCAACCTAGGCAGATATTCTCATTCTAGGTTAAAGCAGAAACAACAGGAATTTGATCAGGATTCATGCCATTCAATCATTCAAACCTTAATTGAACATAATCAAATCATAGAATCAGTACTTGGGTTCATACAATCAAAGCCTAACATACAAATCTAGGGTTCTCCATACCTAGATGAATGGGAGAACTACTCCATGGAGAAAGAAGCAAAAGCAGAATCAGACGCGGAATTCATACTGTGAAGCATGGATTCCTACTCCTGGACGTTGATCGGCACTTCTCCAAGCTCAAACTGGCCTCCAATGGTGATGAAGATCAAGCTAGGGCACTTGGAGATTCTTGTTCGTCACTTTCTCTCTCTAGGAATCGCTCTGTCTCTCTAAAACTGGAATCCCCTTCTGTTTTGGCTGAAATCTTCTTTAAAGGGCATCAGTGGCCAAAGCACGGTCGAGGGCACGGCCGTGTAATGCCTCAGCCCGCCCGTGTTTTGGCTAGGGTTAATTAAACGGCCAGTGCGTTGGGGGAAACACGAGCGTGTTTGATGATGGACACGGCCGTGCTTGTGGTGACCACGCCCGTGTTTTTAGCCAATGTTTGCCAAACTCGAATTTGCTCTCGGCAGTAAAAGCACGGCCACAGAACACGGTCGTGTTCTGTTTTAGGTGTGCCCGTGTTTTGGCTCCAGCTCGACGAAATGACTTCCGAATGCCCTTTCTGCTTGCGGTGTTAGAGAAGATGGGATTTAACTCTGTCTGGAGAGAATGGATACACGAATTCCTCAAGTCAACGACGTTCTCTGTCCTCGTGAATGGAACCCCTTCTGGTTTCTTCTCTCCCTCCAGGGGATTACAACAAGGGGATCCTCTCTCCCCTATGCTCTTTGTGATTTGCACAGAGGGGTTTGCTGCCCTCCTTCGAAAAGCCATCGCGGAAGGCAAACTAGAAGGAGTTAAGGTAGCTCCTTGGGCTCCCCGAATCTCACATTTGTTCTTTGCTGACGATTCTTATCTATTCCTCTGAGGATCACTCTAGGAATGTGAGAATTTGATTGAGGTACTGAATGAGTATGAGGAGCTTAGTGAGTAAAGGGTAAATTTGGAAAAATCGGCTGTCTGCTTTAGCAAGAATATTGCTATGCCAGATCAGGAATTCTTGGCCAAAATATTGGGAGTTGGGGCTGTGGGGGTCTAAGATAAGTACTTGGAACTCCCTACTCTGATAGCCCGATCGAAGATGGCGGAATTTTGCTATTTAGAGGAGAAATTGTTAGAGATACTTCAGGGATGGAAACAGAGGACTTTGTCCTGGGTTGTGAAACAGACCTTGATCAAGTTAGTTGCTTTAGCCTTGCCGTTGCATGTTATGTCATGTTTCAAATTGCCTCTATCCCTTTGTCATTTCCTTGACAAGCATATAGCTTGTTTATGGTGGGGTGTTGAGGATAGCCAATCCTGCATTCACTGGATGTCTTGGCATAATACGTGCAGAAGTAAGCATGAAGGGGGTATGGATTTTCGTCGATTTGAGCATTTTAACCAGGCCCTCTTGGCTAAGATTGGATGGCGGATCCTGAATGAACCTCATTCTCTCTTAGCCCAGGTTTATAAGTGGAAATATTTCCCCAATGGGTCATTTCTCACGGCTACGGCTCGTTCCCGTCCTTCGTGGTGATGGCAGAACATTCTCTTTGCCTGCCAGCTGTTAAAAATAGGTCTACGTTGGCAAATTGGCCGGAATGGTCAGAAAGCTTTTCTCCTAAATTCTAACTGGATCGCTCAGCAACATCCTCTTACCCCCAGTGTATAACCCCCCCCCCCTCCCCCCGTGTTCTACCTGGAGAGTGGGATCTATCGGTGGCCGAGGTTCTTTGTCTAGGGGACAAGGACGGAGCCAGGATTTTTCATTAGGAGGTGCTTACAAAGTTTTTTTAAACAAAAATATCATATCTATATTATATACATGATTTTTATACAAAAACTGATTCTCGTTATGTGCAATCTAAACATTATGATGTATGTCGTTCGAAGTATTTTATCATGCGATACTTCATATATATTATAACCATAAGAACAAAACAAGAACATGATAAAATTTTACTTAGAAATTCTGTAAAATTCAACTTAAAATATGAAAGGAACTGAAAATAAAGATATCAAAGCTTGAATTCACATGAACAAGTGTGAAATTCGCTTTAAAAATGTGAAATAAACTAAAAAAAATAGACATAGCAGAACTTGAAATTACATGAAAAACGGAAAATAGACATATCAAAGCGTGAAATCATATAAAAAATATAAGAAATTCACCTTAAAAAAGTGAAATAAAAAGAAATAGACATAACATTGCATGAAATTTCCATTCAAACATGGTTAAAAGGAAGGAAAGGTGGGAAAGCGAACCCTGACCATCCCTACCCATAAGGGATAATGAAACTTTTTCAACCAGTATGCCAAACACAAACTGTTGCTTTTATCTGATCATGTCTTCTTTTTATCCTGATCTGCATTTGGGGGGGGGGGGGGGGGGGGCATGCTGGTGTGACCATAAGCTCAGCCAATGGTTTGATCTGTCTACCTGTCAAGCTATTAAAGTTATCCCCTGCCCAGACATAATGTCGAAGACCGTTTGATTAGGCATGCTACTACAAATGAGGTTTTCACCATTAAATCAGTAATATCACTTTGAGGTTGTCCTAGATCAGTAGAGGGGGTAGTGGCAGTCCCTTACTAGTTGGATGGATAGGGCTAGCTGGATCCATTTGTGGAAGCCTAACATTCCTCCGAAAATTAAAGTGTTTGTCTGACAAATCTTTAATAGAATCTTGCCCGCGGCAAAAGCCCTTATTGAGAAGAAGGTTGATGTGCTCCCTCGTTTCTGGATTGTCTAGTCGGTCGTGCCCTCTGGTAGCTGTCTGGCCTTGATTACCTTGGGGAAGGCTTGCCTAGGCATACTTTCCACTTTTTCTGAAAAACTATTGTCTCTGGTACATCATTTGCCCCTGTTTATGACAGTGATTGATGTCCTTGGGTGAATCTGGTGATCCCGTAACTGGGTCATCTTTGAGGGGAAACGGTTCGGGTTCCCAGCCTTGATGCATTAGTTTAATCAGCAGGTTCAGGAATGGGTTTGTCTGCCGGTGGACTGTGTCCCCCTGCTATCCAGTACTCCCACCCCCTTCTTTGGCTACGGAGGAACCTTCGCTGGTTGTGTGTATGTGGGATGGGGCCACTAAGAGAGGGTCTCATTCGGCAGGCGGGATGGTTATCATGACTCACACTAGAGAGGTTCTCTCTGTGAGGGGGGTTCAGTTCCCTTGCATTGACGACCCTATGGTGGTGGAATTACTTGCTCCGATGGATATATTATATTTGGATGAAGTTTTTTACGAATCCGACAAAGAGAACAATGGATTTGCCATAATTTTGGTATTTTAAGTATCTGTCAAAAAAAAAAAAAAACACTTCAATATGTGTTAAAACTAGTTTTACACTCAATCAATTAAACACTTTGTTCATCCACATCCTAAAATATTTAATTATCTCTCAAATCTTTCTTATGTTCTCTCAGTTTTATAAACAATGCATAAAGAAACTTTAATTAACATTTTAATAAAAATTAGGAAAATAATTTGAATTTGAAAATTTTTAATGATTTTTAGGGTAACGAGACAATGACATGACGTGTTGACTAACGGTCAATGGTGTTGATCATCCAAATTGACGGTCAAACTATGTGTCGGGCCTATTGAGTCTATATGTTACATAGTTGAGGCCATGATGTTAATTTCTGAAACCACGGGCCAAATTTGATTATATGATCATAGTTCATGCCAAAATAAGGTATTAACCCTAGATTATATAAAGAATTTTATGATTATCAAAGATGGTGCGAGTGGATTTTCCTTGAATTACATATGAGTTGATTTTGATATATCATATATTATATTCGGCATAATTTTGATTATGATGATGGTTGCGATTTTAATACTATAGTTGGAAAATGATATATAAGAAAACCAGCCCCACCCGAATTGGTTGCCATGCCATCCCTACCAACTGTCAGTGTGTGGTATATGATCCGCGATAGAATCTCTCCCAACAACTCGAGTTATTGGGATCAACTGGTTCTTGACATGGTATCAGAGCCTTCTGTGACCGAGAGGTCTTGTGTTCAAATCCCGATACCCCCCATTTGTTAAGCACATGGTATTGGGACCTATGCAAACTTCAAGCCCTTGTGAGTGGCTTTCGTTTGAGGGGGCGTGTCAGTGTGTGGTATATAATCCGCGATAGAATCTCTCTCAACAACTCGAGTTATTGGGATCAACTGGTTCTTGACACCAACCACACTCCCTAGGCTGGCAGTCAGAGATAACGCACAAGCCCATTCCGAGCTGATGGTTGACAAATGGCGATTGAGATCTCCATTATTAAACGCAACTCTGAATAGCAAATCCGGAACACAAACTTCAACAAACCCTCTCTTACAATGAGCCCTCCAACTCAATTTTTCACAGCACCAAATGGCTGCAGCCGCCGGAGCGGACGCCATGTCGTCGCCGTACCTTCTGCCACATCAACCCCATGCTCCACCTCTGCCGGATCCTCTCTTCCAAGAGCCCCGACCTTCTCATCACCGTCGTGGTCACGGAAGAATGGCTGGGCTTGCTCACCGCCGACAAATCTGTCGCCGATTTCGCCTTCACCGACAACGTCAGATTTGCCGCCATGCCGACTGTCACCCCGTCGGAGCTCGTTCGAGGATCATGTTTCCCTGCCTTCTACGAAGCCGTTGTCACGAAAATGGAAGCTCCCTTCGATGACCTCCTCGACCGGATTGCAGGACCTCCGGTTACCGCGTTAATCCCCGACTATGAGCTCAATTGGGCCATCCGGATTGGCCGCCGGCGGAAGATTCCGGTAGCCATGTTTTGTACTGTCCCGGGCAGAGTATATTACCTATTCCATCAATTCGCCCGCGTAGAGGACCTTTCCCTCAGAGACCGTATCCTGGGTTAGTATTATAAGCTCCCTTCAGTCTTGCCAATTCTTTTCAATCAAACGTCGCCATTTGTGATGTGCTCTGTTTTCCTTTCATAGACTCTGTTTTTTTTAATGTTCTGTTTCACCCAATAATGGTGACTGTAATTCTGTAAATGTGTGGTTTGTTTATGTTGTGTAGATCACAGAAAAGATCTTGATTGGGATATTAATTTCTTCAACTTTCCTAATTTCTTAAAACGAACTGAACGATTATAACCTGCTCTGTTTTTCTTCCATAGACTATGTTTTTTCTGTTGCTCAGTTTTAATTTCCACTTCAACAGTTAACTCTTTTAGTGGGTTTTTGTTGCATAGATCATGGCGACGATCTTGAAGACTATTCGATCCATGGAATTTCTCCTCCAGATGTGGCAGATATACAAGCCATATTCAGAGGGGATGACCGGGTTATCATGAACCAAAGCTTGGAGTGCCGTTCTTGGATTCCGAAAGCTGAATTCCTCTTGGTGAACTCCGTCGAGGAGCTTGAGCCTGAAGTTTTCAAGGCTCTAAGATCTAAGTTCCAGTCCCCAGTATACCCGATCGGACCCACCATTCCTTTCCTGAAACTCAACAACAAATTCCAGATACTCAGCAAGCATCCTATTTGCAATGGCTAGATTCCCAGCCTGAAGGCTCTGTTTTGTACGTATCATTGGGGAGTTCTTTCTCCATCCCCAAGCAGCAAATGGACGAAATGGCGACGGGTCTTAGAGACAGCTTCGTGCCGTTCCTTTTGGTGGCTCGCGGAGAGAGTGATCGGTTACAAGAAAGCTTTGGCGGTGGTGAGAAAGGGATGGTGGTTCCATGGTGCGACCAGCTGAAGGTGCTAACCCATGGTTCAGTGGGAGGGTTCTGGACGCATTGCGGGTGGAATTCAACGTTGGAAGGTGTTTACGGTGGAGTTCCGATGCTTACTTTCCCGCTGATATTCGATCAGGTTCCGAATAGTAGGCTGATTGTCGAGAAATGGAGGATTGGCTGGAGGTTGAAGAGGTTGGGGATGGAGGATGAATTGGTGACCAGAGATGAGATATCTCAAGTGGTGAAGAGGTTTATGGATGGAGAGCAGAGTAAGGTGAAGGAAGTAAGGGAGAGAGCCCAGGAGTTGGGGAAGATATGCAGGGGAGCGATTGTAGAAGGTGGATCTTCTGATAGAAACATTGATGATTTCTTGGGAAAGGTATTAGGTGCAAAACCAAATTCTATATCTTATCTTAATCTTTCTTCTTATCTTAAATCTTATTAAAGGGCTTTTAGATTTAAGCCACTGCCACGTACTCCTCCCTGTAATTTGAGGCTATCCACGTCAGACTATAAAGAAACTGTTCCGCACAGAGAAACCGTCGTTTCTTCCGCCGCTTTGTGTTCTCCACCCGCCAGAATTCGTCACCGTAAAAGCCTCCCGCCACTCGCCTGCCCCACACCTATGGAGAGTGAATTCTGCCTCCTGCCACCGCATGCGCCTGTCCCACCACCAGTTCTCATATCCCCGCCTTGCGCTTTTCCGACACACCCTATAGTCGTTTAATTTGCCCGCTCCATCGATTCTACAATCTCCCTCCAAGTCCCCAACCCCACCTTCTTCGACGTCCATCTCCCTCTTCCTCCTGCAAGGCAAGGCGCCACGGTAGCCTGTCAAACTGCCCTCATGATCTTCGTCAAGAAGGAGGTGTCTTCCTATGTTTCTTTCGACTTCAATTTTCAATTGAGATGGGTTTCCTGTTCTTTTGCTTGGGTGTTTCTAGGCCTTGAATCTTAGATTTTGGGTCCGACTGATTTGATGAGAGGAAGGCGGGACGTTTGAGTACATTGTTTGGCTTTTGATAGTTCCAATCTGGTACTGCTTGATTTCGATGTTGTCAAATTTGTGGGATGAACTTTCTTCTTGCCGTTAAGTTTTGTAATCGCTTGAAAATTGAGGGTTCCTTTTTGGTTTTTTTGTTGCTTCTCTTACTTGCATGGCTTCGCTGCTCCTGTTACATTGCTGCTTTAATTCCTTGCTCACTTTCCCAGATATGACAAGACAATATTGACTGATCCCCATTGCATCTTGAGACAAATGGACAGACTTACACACAACAAGTTGATCCACAAATGCATAGGACGCGCACAAAATCAGTACCACTTTGAGTTTCTAGGGGATATTGTTCGATGAGATTGTTGTTCTGCTATGAGTTATATATAACTTGCATAGAGTGGCTACCCTCTTTCCACTAGCAATAAACTGAAGTACTCGAGGAGGAGAAAGCTAGGGATAATCCTGGCGCATTATAATTTCTAATGCGTCGAGATAACGATAATCTACTTTACTTCTACTCCTAAATTACCACGAATACTACTAAACTGGTTTATTATTCATCGACATACTAAAACCAAAGAACAACGTCATATTTATAGAACTACTCTACAAACCCTTTCCCTCTCAAATAAGGTAAACTAATCCCAACCCAACAAGTAAACAGTAACTTACCCAACAAGACATAATAAACTAATAAGAATAATCATAATAACTTAACAATTAACTAATAATAATCCTAATTACTAAGCCTATACGTGACACCAAGGCCCATGGGTGCTATAATGCACCAAACCTCCCCCCTTTGAAAAACTTCGTCCCCGAAGTTTAAGCGCCATCTTCAACCTGGATCAATGAAAAAGAATCGCTCCCACGTGTTGATGATAATGGAGAGAGTTATTGTTCGTCGACGCCAACTTCGTTTACGAAACTTCCAATTGCGCCAATGCACTCGAACAAAATTCCTACTTTCCCAACCAATTCTCCATTCCCACTTCTCGTCACTACTCTTCCATTCACCCATATATTGAAACAACCCCTGCCTCCATAAGATGATTGGACCAAGTAGCTCCTGGGACTTCGAATGGGCCACCCCTTCAAATTGCTTTGCCATGTTATTGCCATTTATCACAAGATCCACCCGTCCTGCGCATCCTCCAATTACCGCCCGCGCAACTTCTCCCAGGCCAGGCTCAAGTATCCACGCGACCCCAACTGGCCCTGAATCAGCCCCTACGAGACTCGAGCGGCAAGCTTCCCGAGCTTCACCATCCCGATTCGAAGACCCAACCCCATACAATAAGCCGCCGGTCAGTCCTCCCATTGACGGTCCAACAAATCCGTGAATCACTCCACCTCTTATCGCAGCGTCCTGTTGCAACCCGCCGCTTTACAGGCAGCAAGATCATACGCTTCTCCGATGGCAGTTGATCCCCGTCGCCACCTCGGTTTGCTTCTCCCTTCGGCTCGGGCTCCACCTCGCGCGCATCCAACCCAGCCACAACTGGCTTCGGCGCCAGCTCACGTTCTGTCGTAGCGCCTTCCTCTAGTCTCTTCAACGATTCCATCACCGGTTTTCCCCAAGGTAGGTCATTAAGGATGACAAGAATCGAGTGAACCTCACTCGCCATTCTCTTTTGTTCTTCACGCAGCGCTCCAACCTGGCCAATCAATTGACCTTGTCCCTCCAAAAGCTGGGTTTGTCCATCTTTTAGGGTTCTTACATCCCCCAAGAGACACGCCAAGCCTTCATCCCTGTATGCGAGCTTCACCAAGCCCGGTTCCTCGGAACTAGGCTCTGATACCAATTGGCGCATTATAATTTCTAACTAGCCTATTACCCGGCCCGTTGGCCGGATTACTGTATGTTACCCACTTGTGGAATAGGAGAGAAAGCAAGTGAGAGTGAAGGGATTGAGATTCCACTTGATTAGGACCGACCCACTAATCCGATTCACCCGCCCCAACCTAAAGGGTCAGAAAGAGTCAATAAGAAAATACGAACGGAGAGGATTAGTCATATTCATATATCTTGACTCTTCAGAAGTGGGTCAAACAGGATCAAGGTTGGAGGAGGGAAATTTTTAGCGCTAAGCAGATTTCTGGGTTGAATAACATTACTTAGGCCTAGAAATTGGTGTTGATGCAGACTGCAGTTTTTATTATACCATCATCAATCATCATTGAATTAGTCCTGGGCATCCCTCCCCGTTGTCGGTACGAATTCTAATGATGGCTCCGTTCCTTGCACCAGCCTTATCAGCGAGTTGTCATCTCGAGCATGATTTGCCTATGTACAAATGATACAATTAGAGTATGAAACTGAATTCAAAGAAAAGGAAAAGAGATTTCTATCACATGCCAATAAATACACACATAATAGTTGAAGCTAAGTGAAAGTCATTACTCGCACATCAATTCTCAAAAATTACAGACTAAACAATGGCTAGAATGGTACTGAAACTACCAAGAATCATGGACGAAACAACTTGTCAAATTAAATAATCCTTATACTGAAACTACCTTCTAACTTGAAATAAGACATGATCACAGTTCATAGCTCTCTTCTCACTATGAATTGGTTGCAGCTCGTCCTTATCACTGCCTCCCAAGCTCAATTCAAACAGAATAGAGACCGTTATGTAAGATAACCATATCCTTACTTATCATAATTCCTTTCTTCACTCCATTTTTGTCAGAGATAAGAGTTACCCCCCTCTCCTGCATTTCCCTTTCCCCCTCTCTTCTCCCTCTTCTTCACAAACCGATCCCTAAACCAGCAACAACAACACAAAAATAGCCTTCGCCTCTGCCATATCCATCTACTGAACGCGTTGGTGGCAAGACAGGACTGCAGAAGCAAAATTTTCTAAAATCAAACTAATTTTTTTGAAGGAGACTCAACCACGAAAAAATAGTAAAGCAACAATGCTAATAGTTCAGATGGTTGGTTTTGATGTTATACATTGCTTTTGTTCTGGTCTCCAGTATATCAACTACAATAGAGATGTTTCCTCCAATCATCTTTAGTGCACGATTTAGAAGCAAGTCCTCCTGTTTGTGTCAAACGGAAACATTCATGGGTTCTTAACCCCCCTGTTAGTGTAAAAGCAGCAGCAGCAACAAAGAAGTTTGACAACACAGCAAGCACCCAGGCAAAATGATACAATGCAGTAGGTGATATGTGTCTCGAAGGTTTTGAGTTACTAAAGTTCATGTTAAAAATAAACATGAATTAAAATGGATTATTCTATTAAGCAAACATCCCCTACAATCATACAAAGATCAGATATCCAATTCACAAACAATTAAGCCATAAAAAATCATCACACATCCACCACCTTTGATTGCCTAAATTTGGTTTTTCGCAAAAGTTATGGACTCTTAAGGGAAACGTTCATGGGTAGTCTGTTTCATAACTCTAGAGAGCACAGTAAGCAGCCACCAGCCAGACACAGTGCGGTAGGCGAATATGATTCTCAATTCACAATTTCTCACCACCAGAAGTAAGAACAGACCATAATAAGCATAGCGTTCATGGGTGGTCTGTTTCATAGCACTACTACACAATTTGTTAAAAAGGAAAGAAAGGTATTTAGCACCACGGCGGAACAACTTTTACAGGCTAACAACGACAACATGCTGCAACCACCAGAACTGGTATCACAACTCATAGGGAAAATCAAAAGATTTACTCTCAAATTAAGCAGTTACAACATCGAGCAATTGTCAAGCACATACACCATCACAAAAGTCACGGAACCTGATTCACAAAGCATTAAAACATTTGAGGACATTTCTCCAAAGGTACAACTTATATGTCTTTTTTCCAAGCCATTTCCATCAAAATGCTAATAAATTTGCAATGCATAAAACAAACGGGCCAAAACTTGAAATTCAGCATGTTTGACGACCCATGCCAAATTATAATTATTCTTTACTTTTAAACTTTCTATTTGAAAATAAAAAATTGTGAAAGAAAAGAGACGACTACAATTCGCCATTTGCACATCACTTATTCGGAAATAAAACCATAGAAATTCAAAAGGAACTGAAAATGTTTAGGATCGTTATAATGTTTAAAATAACCAAATAGATCTTTATGTTTAATTTTTTACTAACAAATACCAAACGATTCCCTATAAAATACACTATAATTTGATCATTATGATATCAAATAATTATAAAATATATATTTGAAATGATAAAAATTGGACTAATTGTGTTGGTCGAGGTTGAACCATTGAATAACTTTAAAATACATTATATTTTAGCCACTAAGATATAAAATAATAGCATAATATATATTATGTCAGAGAAATTAGCGTATTTTAGAATGACAAACCAATGATGTTCATTTATTTTACTTGATGGCCAAATCCCATGTAGGTCAGACACATTCAACTCTTTTATTTTATGGTTGGCGGTTAGCCAATTAGATACCATGCATTAGTTTATTGTTAAATGTTTTATTTTTAACAATAAAAAGGAGTATTATTTTTACCTTTTCATATATATTTTGTCACCACGGAGAAATAAAATGGCTTAAAGAAAAAAAAATTGACACTCCTGGACCTGTTTAAATTCACATGTGTACGGTAAGTTGGCCCGTTCCACAGAGGAAAGAGAAAAAAAATTGACACTCCCTATTCTACCCTTCCTACAAACGCTCATGGAGCAGGGATTTGAAATGGGGGAAAAGTTTTTTCCTCCCTGCTATTATATGTTTTTAATTTAAAAATATACAACAAATGTGCTTAGTGTGATTGTTTATTATCCTTGCTTTTCTTTAAAATGGTCATGGTTCGAATCCCAGTACGTGTCTTTTTAATGAATAAAAAAAAGTAATTGTGAAGACCAAAATGTCCTTCCTACTTTCACTCTCGTTGCAGGAAATTTGAAATGGAGCTCCCGTTTTTCCCTTCGGCGTATTATATTATGTGTAGATGCGTCGAGATAACGATAATCTACTTTACTTCTACTCCTAAATTACCACGAATACTACTAAACTGGTTTATTATTCATCGACATACTAAAACCAAAGAACAACGTGCATATTTATAGAACTACTCTACAAACCCTTTCCCTCTCAAATAAGGTAAACTAATCCCAACCCAACAAGTAAACAGTAACTTACTCAACAAGACATATAAACTAATAAGAATAATCATAATAACTTAACAATTAACTAATAATAATCCTAATTACTAAGCCTATACGCGACACCAAGGCCCATGGGTGCTATAATGCACCAAATCCACAACTGCACTACTTGAGTTGAGAAGGGAAAGCAAGGGATGATTATATTCACAGGTAAACCTTTATTTCCATCTTTGTAGACTGCTCGATGAGATGTTTTGTTGTTTCTGCTATGAATTATAACTTTCATAGACTGGCTATACACTCTTCCCAGTAGCAATAAACACAAGTACTCTGAGGAGAAAGCCATGGATATCCACAAGACCACAACTGCAAGGGAAAGCAAGGGAACATTTGCATGTATATCTTTATTTCCAGTTTGTGCATGAAATTTTGGAACTTAAACAAAGATCACGAAGACAACATCAAGATTATGTCCACGAGCCCCAAACCTCCAAAGTCCAAAAAACACTGACACTGCCACAACATAGAAAACTAACCTAAAAAACTAACCAGAACTCTACCACTAGAGCCTTGAAAATGGTCAAGACTTGATGCATTGAGTTACAAGAAGCCCAAGCGTACTTTGATTCTAATAGAATAGGGTGACAGTACCATAATCACTTGCCATAGTGTGCTATGATGCCACCGGCTACGTACCAAACATCTCCGACCAATGCAACCTTTATATATTTACATACATTGCTTTACGTAGAATTTCATGTCAATAACTACAACTGCTTATATGTTTAACACATTAGCTTATAAATAACTTACATTATATTATATAAAGCCAAAGCAATGTTACTGTTGCCTAAAAATATACTACTTTAATATCTCAAATTTTATTAAATTAAAACTTAGTTACTATAATGTACATTTTACATTTTGATACCCAAAATTTAATTTTAGTGTAAAATCATTGAACAAACATGTTTTGGTATCTAAATTTTATTAGATTTTGGTACCTGCAATTTTTTAAATTTATATATTGGTACAATATTTAGATTTCACTTTAATCCATGAATCCGGATCCACCAATCCTTTTGAACCAATTCATGAATTCAATCCACCATAACATAAAAGTATAAATTTAGTTTGTACCATACAAGATGTTTTATCATTCAACAGTCGGAGATTGCTCATTACGTGAAACATTAAATAAATGATAAAAGAGAGACAGTTCTAAAATATTGCAATAACGAATTTATAAACTCAATTAGTTATTTACGGGGTACTAAACAAACATTTACTAACTACATGTAAAAATATGTGACATCTGCATAAGCAAGTGTCATTAAATTGTTACGGTGAAAAGAGTTGACTGTTGTATTGAAGGCCAACTAAAATAGTTGGTCAAAACCTTTCCATCATCTACTTCCTCTTCGTTTCATTTTTCACTCGCCTTCCTTAACCGTAATTAGTATACAATTTTTATGTATTCTGATCACAAGCATGAACGAGTCCATACACGACTCACCAACAGTTTAGATAATTAATAATTGAACCATGAACCACTAACTTTTTCAGCTGTACTATCGAGTCCAATTAAGAATAATTATATATGGTTATTACTTATTAGAAATTCATCATTTTCCACTATGAGATTCGAAGGCGTGAAATTTTAAGCGAGTTCCAGTTTGTATTCCTTTTGCTTCTCTCTAGAGTTTTTCTTTGACTAAAATTTTCAACTATTATAAATAGAATGTTTAGCTAGGTATCTACACATATCAAATAAATATTTTCTTATTTTCTATAAAAAATTAAATAATTATCATCTTAAATGCATCGCCATAAAAGGAATTATGCCTCTACTATGCAAATTACAGTTCGATACCTAAACTTGATAGATCTTTAGATTTATAACCTAAATTTTATTATTTTGGCATATAAGTCCTCAAAATATTGATGGAACATTACATTTTAGTACCTAAAATTTTTGGGCATTACATTT